TTTTTTTTTTTTTTCAGTGTATATTTTCTTTCTTTGGCGCCTTTGTCGAGTGTGAAATTACTATATTTGTGTGTTTATCTCTGTGCCTTCTATTCTATTCCTTTGATCATCATGCCTGTTTTGATGCCAATATCATGCTCTTTTTATTACTGTAGCTCTGTAATATAATTTAATGTCTGTATTATGATGCTTCCTAATTCACTTTTCTTGTTCAGGTTTGCTTTAGCTATTCTGGGCCTCTTATTTCTCCTAACAAATTTCATGTCTGCTTCTTCTATTTCTATAAATAATGATATTGTATTTTAATAGGAATTGCACTAAATTTGTATAATGCTTTTGGTAGTATGTCCATTTTGATAATATTAATTGTGCCTATTCAAGGACATGTGAGATTTTTCCGTCTTCTAAGGTCTTCTTCAATGTCTTTCTTTAGTGTTCTCTAGTTTTTATTATGGAGGTCTTTCATCTCCTTTGTTAGATTGATTCCCATGTATTTTTGAGGCTTATATGAATGACATAGTTTCCTTAATTTCTCTATCAGCTGATTCATCATTGAAATATAGGAATGCATTTGATTTCTGGTTGTTAATTTTGTAACCTGCTACTTTGCTGAATTCATTTTTGAACTCTAGAAATTTTCTAGTGGTGATTTTGGGTCTTCTAAATACAGGATCATGTCATGTCATAGGCAATCATAAATACTTCTAGCTCTTCTTTTGTATCCCTTTGATTTTGTATCCCTTTTCTTTCTTTTTCCTAATCGCTCTGGCCAGTTTTTCTAGAAATATGTTGAATAGAAACAGTGAAAGGGCAGCCCTGTCTTGTTCCAGTTTTTAAAGGGAATGCTGTCTTCATTTAAAATGACATTGGCCTTGGTTTTGTCATATATATAACTCATACAATTCTGAGGGATGCTCCTCATTTACCTAACTTTTCTAGTATTTTTAAAACTGAGTGAATGCTGTGCTTTATTGAGTACTTTCTTTGCATTTATTGTGATACTCATGTGAGTCTACTTATGTGATAAATACATTTATTGACTTCCAATGTTAAAAAAGCCTTTCATGCCTTGCATAAAATCCTCTGGATCATTGTGCACTGTCTTTTTAAAGTATTTTTGTATGTGATTTTCCAGTATTTATTATGAATTTCAGTGTCTATGTTCACCAAGAATATTGGTCCCAAGTTTTCTTTCTTTGATGTGTCTTTATTCAGTTTTGGAATCAGAATGATACTAGACTATCTTCATAGAATGAGTTTGGATAGGTTCCTCATGTGTTCTTATCTGTCCCTGCCCTCCCACACTTTTTTTCTTCTTCTAATTTCTGGCTAATGACTGTTGCACTATTACTAATGATAAATTCTTTAGCCAGTTACTTTTAGATTGTTATTCTTACTTCATTTCATTGTAGATGGTAGATTAAAGAGGTTGTTTTCAATAAAGAATTGTTTTAAGCATATATATGTTTTCATGTTAGGTTGTCAAACTGACTGATGGTTGTTATCTCCTGTGAGAAAGACATTAATGAATATGGAAACTAAATTGAGGATTTTACACTGAGATGTAACCTGTGACCAGGATGTAACTTGTGACCACCCCATGGAAAAAGTGGTTCAGTAAAAGACCTATCTATAACAGTGCAAGAGGAATCTATCTGGATATAAGCACAAACCTCAGCATAGAAAAAAAGGCAACATGAGTGAACAATGCATTGATAAGACACTTCCAAATCTTCATAACTACCAAATCTTCATAACTACCAAACAACTGAATCTGTAGATTTATTTTCTATTGTCCTCTTAAGATGATGGATAAAAGTGTTAATGAGATGTACCAAATGCTACATTGAATGCAAATGGGTGTTTGTACTCTAATAACAAAGATTCCATTCTGGTAGGAATGATGACCTTCATTTTCATTAGTGTTTTTATTATAATCCTTTTATCTGCCTTACCATATGCTCCAAAGTCAAGCAGAATGAACTCTTGAACTATGGCAATTAATCACTGGTTATATTAAAGTAAAAGTTTTGAGTGACTGGGAATGACCACTCTCTTTCACAATGAGTATAATTAAGCTGCCATTAACTTGACATTTGTTCCTAATTTCAATTGTGTATTCATAAGACCCAAATTTTTCCTTTATCATTTACAGATATTATACAAATGGGAGCACATTCAATAATCTTAAAGTGGCCTCACTTCAAAGGATAAATATTTTGCCATTTTACTATGGAAAATAAACACATTTAAGATACATAACCATTTATAATGTTTTAAATTAAAAATTAATCTATGATGCATAGATTTATAAATCAATTCTGAAAGGCAATTGCATTTGAACTACTCTACATTACTAAAGCATAGTAACCACTATGAAACCACCAATTAATATTTATATAATTACACACATGTGGCTGTTTCTTTTCTCGGCCATTAAGCCTTCTCTGATGGATCTCTGATTCTACTTCCACATGTGCTGCTGCTGAAGAAAAGTAAACAATTATTAAACAATATAGAGGGGGCAGAAAAAGCAATAGTCTAATAAAACAATAGTAATATCTTTTTATTTTATCAATTAGTAATTTTAATGGACCATAATCTTTAGTTAAATATGTACTTCCTTTATTCTTATTTTATTATCTTACATCTCATTTGATTTTATGTCTGTGTTTCTGTGTGTGTGTGTGTGTGTGTGTGTGTGTGTGTGTGTATTGCTAGAGATTCAACCCAGGGTCTTGTACATGGTTGGCACCTGCTCTACCATGGAGGTCATTCCACAGGTCTTTTTAGTTTATTTCATGACAGGGTCTGTCTCCAGCACCCTACTGGCCTGAAACCTACCAGCAGTCTGCATCAGCCTCCCAAGTCACTATAAATGTAGTGTGCTCCACAGCACACCTAGGATTATTTCTTTAGGAAATACTTCTATTCATCCCAAAATTCATCAAAACACCTGGTAGGACACTACATGTCACCATCTTTAATGCATACAAACATCTCAAATGTTAATCCACAAATTCATCTACTCAAATGAAAAAAAATCCCCAGAAATTAAATTTGAAAGTGCCATAAAAAATAAAATTCAAGCCATACACTCTTCTATACCTCTTAATAGAGAATATGAATCATCTACTTTTCATCATTAATGGCTTCAAAAATTACTGACAACTTCTCACATCTTTATAAGTTAACTCCCTGTTCCTCATATCTGAGGTGGTATTCCTTTTCTGTCCCTGAGACTCAGTTTGCTCTGTGAAATCCTACCTAATTATGGCTATAATTCCTTATGATGACATTAATGAGGGCTTCTTTCCTTGGGCCTACTTTACCAATTCATCAACTTCCCTACTATTATTTCACCACTAGAGACATCAACGATTTCTTTACAAGTAAATTCTCTTTTACTGCTCAACTGGAAGGAACAATATTTTAGGTCATCTGGTGTAAACTGTCTATTCATTGGACCCTCTAAGTGTTGATTGAGCTCCTGGTAGTGCTAGTATGAATAAAAGGTGCCAGGGATGGTTTTTCTGGAGGACTTCCTGAGCTGAGACTTAAGAGGTGAGGGTAGCCCAGCCAGAGTGCAGGAAAGGGTACAAGCAAGACAGGAAGTAGCAAGAGAGAAGGATGAGTATTAAATGGGGTGTGTGCTTGCCCCAAAATATAGGAATTAGTGAGGAGTAAGGCCAGAGGGAAGGGAAGACAGGAAAGGACTAATGATAGAGAGTTGGGCAAAAGTCATATTATGAAAGCACTAGAGGTAACATTGAAATACTTTCCCATTCATGTCCTTTAGTGGTTCATGAACATAATTTCATGGGAGCTAGATTTTTCTAAATGCTATGTGTATAGTGAATGTCAGGCACATCTGGGTAAATGGAAGGAGATGAACAAGTACAAGGGAATATGCAACATTAAGAAGATGCCTGCCTGAAATGAAGAAATTCCTACAAAAAATATTCAATATAAACAATATTATAAAATAAGTTTTTATTCAATGAATATCGGTATAAATATGATTCCCTGGTAAATGAGACTCTGCTCAATTCTCTACAAAAGTATCAAATGATTTGTGAGGTGAATTACAGGGACTGTGTAAGTTGCTTTTGTTTACTTGGTTGGTTTTCACTTTTATATGTTCCTAGGTCCAGGACATTCATTTAGGTGTTTTGTTAATAATTTCCTGACTCTTGGATCTACCAAGCTCAACAATGAATAAGACAAGGCTAGGGGTGAGGCTCAGTTGTAGGTAATCTTCTTAGCATGCAAAAGGCCCTGATTTCAAACCCCTTCCTTTAAAACGAACAAAAGGAAGTAAGAACACTAAATTCAATGGTTCAAGTAAGTAACTGTAAATTTATAGCTCTTAAGAAATACCCTGGAAATAATTGATTTTCTTCTATAAAAAACAGTACAAGATGATAATGTATAGGAAAGAGAAAAACATGAAATAGGTGTGATTTCATAGTACAAAAACCCAATCAAGTGAAGGAATAAGGGCACTGACTTAATAGATACATAAAGTTGAACTAATGTTCAATGATACTATCTGCATAGACTTGGTGTCAAGTTAGTACTAAAACTGATTTTTAAAGAGAGTTGTTCTCTCAGTTTTAAAAACTTGTCTCTAACTCATGGAATCAAGGACAACTTTTGTTTTACCCCAAGAATAAGAGATTGTAATGTGCACCAATGTCCAGCAATTCAGTGAGAATTTTTCTAACATATTACAGTCTAAAAACATCAAATTCTGAATCCCTAAAAATTTCTGGGAATTCAAGTGGTGTAAAGATAAGTGTAGGAACATTCAAGATTAAGATCATTTTTTTTGTAATTGTATATATCTTTTTTTTTCAAACAAGGATACTAAACATTGGCATTTGGAAAGTTTTCTCAAATATTCCCACCAAACATGGAAAAAAAAAAGAAATAAAAATCGAAAGTCTTGGATGAGCAGGATTAATATTAGCAAAATGACCAAACTACCAAAAGCACTTTATAAATTTAATGCAATTCCAATTTAAACCAATGATATTCCTCATAGAAATAGAAAAAGCAACCATGAAATTTATTTGGAAAAATAAGAGACACAGAATAGCCAAAGCAAACCTTAGGAAGAAGAGTGAAGAAGGTGGCATCACTGTACCAGAACTTAAACTATACTACAGAGCTATAGTAATGAAAACAACATGGTATTGGCACCAAAATAGATACCTACATCAATGGAACAGAATAGAGGACACAGTCACAAATCTACATAAATAGAGTTATCTCTTACTAGACAAAGGCACCAATAACATGCATTGTAGAAAAGTGATGCTAGGAAAACTAAAAATCCATATGCAGCAAAATGAAATTAAAACTCTATTTTTCACCCTGCACAAAACTCAGCTCAAAGTGGATCAAGGAACTAGGAATTAGACCAGACTCTGCACCTAATAGAGGAAAAAGCAGGCTCAAATCTTCATTATGTCAGCTTAGGATATGATTCCTAAAGTGCAAGAAATAAAATCAAGAATCAATAAATGGAAAGTATTCAAACTAAAATACTGCTTCTCAGCAAAAGAAAATATCAATGAGGTGAAGAAAGAACCTATTTAAGGAACAAATTTTTAGTACATTCACATCAAATAGAGAAGTAATCATCGGGATATATAAAGAACACAAAAACTTAACACCAACACTTAACACCTAAAAGCAAGCAACCCAATCAATAAATGGGCTAAGGAAATGAGCAGAGACTTCACAGACAAAGATATACAATTGTTCAATAAATGTATGAAAAACTGTTCAACATCTCTAGCAATTAAAGAAATGCAAATCTAAACTAAGTTTTCTTCTCACTCTAGTAAGAATGGCAATTATCAAGAATTTAAGCAACAATAAGTGCTGGCAAGGATTTGGGAAAAATGTATACCATTCATTGCTGGTGGGATTGGAAAATAGTGGAAGCACTTTGGAAAGCAATATGAAGATTCATTAGAAAACTTGGAATAGAACCACCATTTGACCCAGCTATCCCATTCCTCGGCATATACCCAAAAGACTTCAAATCAGCATTCCATAGTTATGCAGTCATCTCAATATATACAGCAGCTCAATTCACAATAGATAAACTGTGGAACCCACAGAGATGCCCTTCAATAGATGATGGAAAGAAACTGGTTTATATACACAATGGAATATTAAAGATCAGCCTTAAAGAAGAATGAAATTATGGCATTTACAGGTAAATGAATGGAGTTGGAGAATATCATACTGTGTGAAGTAAGCCTACCCCACAAAACCAGAAGGCAAATGTATTCTCTGATAAGTGGATGCTCCTCCATAATGGGAGCAGGGGGAGGAAAGGGAGGAATGGAGGAACTTTAGGTTGAGCAGAGGCAGGAAGGAGAGGGGAGAAGGTGTGTGTTGGGGAGAAGACGGTGGAATGAAACAGACAGTATTACCCCATGTAAAGGTATGATTCCATGTATGATGTGACTCTACATCATGTACAACCAGTGCAATGAAAAGTTGTGCTCCATTTGTGTAAAAAATTAAATTAATTAAAAAACCAAATGTTACACAAAAACACAACCAAGAATGTAGGTTTGACAAAACATGCAGTCAGAATGCCAAAGCTAGATTATGATTTCCATAACCAGAAATCAAGTAGGACAGTGTTCATTTTCCAATGGCAATATGCTGATTGATGCAGAGAAAGTTTGACCACAGGATAAAATCTTGGCCCTAAGAAGATCGCTGCATGAGGACTGTAACATTGTGTCTCCTAACAGTGACACACCAGAATTATTTGCACCTGTTTATTACAATGATGGAGCCTATCCCTCAAGTTCTCCTGTGATTTAGTATGTGAAAAGTTGTGATAGAAGCCAGTGGAATACACAATTCTCATCAAAGAAAGCTTTGTGAACTGTTAAACTGAGATACATATCTTTAGAATAACAGTTTATTTTAAAAAGTTATCTTTTTCCATGCCTGCATTGGACACCAGTGTGCCTACATTTCTTGCATCATCTGGCTGAGCTATGTTTGCTGTTCTCAATCTATTCCTATGAGAAGATGTACCAAGATCATCTAAAAAATGATGTAGAAGAAACTCAAATTATTTGAGTTTGGTAATAAGAAAGGAGAGATAAAAAGATATATATAAATGATTAGATATGAATATCCTTTACTTTTCAAAATCCATGTAGTTGATTCTCAAAGTAACAAATTGGGTATTCAAAGACTGAACTCTAGAATGTGTTTGGTTCCCAACATTACTCTGCTGTGGTATAACTTGTTAGTCTGAAAAATTTTAATGAAATGACTACCTATCTATCTAGGGTTGAGCATGTAGCTCAGTGACAGAGTGTGTTGCTTGTATGACCAAGGCCATGGCACCCGTTGCCAGCACCAACATCAGAGGGAAAATATGAATCATGGGGAAATAGTCCCTATCTTTCAAAGTCCAGCCAATGTTCCTGTAAAAAACCTTGTCTCTTATGAATAACTAATGTCAATACAACATATATCCCCTCCCTGCATATTATGAAAGAGGAAGAATGCATAATTTAGGTGTCTTCCCATGCCAACGTACCCTCCTGCTTCCCATAATCTCTGGAGGAGGAATAATCTAATCTTTGCTTCCAATGTAATGTTTCATTTGCTTTCCAAAATGCATTTTCACAAGTTTCCCCATCATTTCTTAAATTACCAAGCTAATTCCTTCCTTCCTTCTTTCCTTCCTTCCTTCCTTCCTTCCTTCCTTCCTTCCTTCCTTCCTTCTTTCCTTCCTTCCTTCCTTCCTTCCTTCCTTCCTTCCTTCCTTCCTTCCTTCCTTCCTTCCTTCCTCCCTCCCTCATTTCCCTTCATTTCAGCATTTTCAAAGTATCCTCTTGATTAGTGGTTGTCATGCTTACAATGTTACATTCTCTGTACAAACTAGTCCCACTTTGTCTCTTTCCTCCATATTTAGCAATTATATTAAAGAATTATACTTTCTGTCACTTCAACTTTTGGGTCCTCCATATTTGTCAGAAAGCATGTTTGGATATAACAAGAAAATATAAGCCATCCCTGGATCTTGTTATTCCTTGAACTTGTATCCAACAGATCTTCAACCAGATTTTTCTAAAAGGAAGTTTATACCTTGCTAAATAGAATGTGGTCAGGATACCAAAAATTAAAATACATGTAGAAGCCTTTGGGAATGTAGAATTCCAGACCTCCTCTGCTCAGACAGAATGTGCCTTTTGTAACATGGTGCCGACTGGATGATTCTTTGAGGCAACAGAAGCTCTGATGAACTGTATCAGCTTCCAATTCCCATAGTTGATCTATTTGGCACTCACCCTCAGTGTCATGACCCCAAATTGAAGCTGTATGAGAAGTCACAGACTATTTGATGGACATTTTCCTGCTGTGGTTTTCCTGATGTCTCCAGAAAAATCATACAATTTTTCTTTTCCTAATTCTCATGTGCTAGACTATATGGCTCTCTCCTAGGAGTACCAACATTTTAAAATAACATCAAATTACACACAAGTATGGCTCACTATGTTCAAAGGTTCATATTCACTTAAGGAAAAAAAAATAGCTCTGCATGATCAGCTACTTTAATCCTTGCTGCCTTCCCAATAGTGAGGAATACAGGCAGTGTGGGGAATTTCCACTTCTCAGACAAGTTTTGGAACTGGAAGTGTACAAATTCTCTCCACACATGGAATAGCCTTCTCCATCATCTTCCTAAAGTATTACATGAATTTCACTCCCATCAATATATGCACCACCTTCTTTTCTTTTATGCACTCTGTCATTTCTCCCTTTCTTATTCTTTGTTCCCAATGCTCACATCCTTTTCTTTATTTTTTAACTTTCCTATCTGAAGGTGTTTGAAAATGGAATCAATAATTTGGCTCTTCTAGTGATACTCCTAATGAAATATCTTGCTGAGCCTTTATCCAATATGCCACTCATATATCTTTCATTTCTTTTTTCCTTACTATTTATTAGGTGCCTTCCTTCATGTGTTAGAATATACCAGTGTACATGCTTTAAGTAAACATTCAACCTGCGAATTTTATAGGACATGGTTACATTACCTTTTTTATGTTTATTGATTTTCTGTTCAGCTCTTTGATCTTCAGCCACAGTAAACTTGCCAACACAGCTCAGTGGAAGAGGCTCAGAAACACTCTGGTAAAATTAACATTGATAATGAGTTGCAGAAAGATTTCCTTCTTGCTTATTAAGAACAGATCTAAATTCCCATTACTGAAACCAAGGGTACTTTAAAAGCAGACAAGAATTTATTGCAAACTAAAACCCCTCCAAAGAGAACCTCATATATGCTCTCTAGAACAAGAATAATTTGTCTTCTCATGGCTATTGTTTCTGTTAACACAGCATGGAAGGAGAGAAGGAGACACATGCAGAGACAAGGTCCTAACTAATGTGTATATTTTAGGAAAGAAATAACTTTACTACATGGAACTCTTCTTATGCTTTCCCCACCAATAAGAAGAGAGATATTCTTGAACAAACCCTTTACACAAATTCTCATCTACAAACTTGTTATAATACAATGTTTAACATTTAGGACACTCAAATGGCAGGCATTGTTTTAGTGGGATAAAATAAATATAGTTGGAATGATAAAAGACTTTGAAAATATCATGTTGTATATAAATGGAACATTGTAGCAGCTGCCTAATTGGGTAAACAAATACCTAGAAAACTACATATTTTTGGTACTCATTTGATAGAAAAAGGAGTTGAATAAGATGACAAAATAGCAAGAAAACATTTTGTGACATACATTAAAAAATAGCACACAGGTTTGGGTAGACTCTGCAACTCTTTTCTTTCAAAAAAGAACTTGAAATATATATACTAAGAAAAAATGTCAGTCTAGAAGTTTATGGCACTACAGAAGCTGACCTGAGATGTAACCTAATTGACTCGCTTAGAAATCCATGATGACACAGGTTACTGGGCAAAAACTTTGCAGTGCAACTGTATAGAGTCAGAAACCAGGTGAGACAGAGAACACATTGGTTATTGGAATATTAACAGAATTCATAAAAGACATAAGCTACTGTCACACACTGGTAAGTGGGAGACTATAAGATCCCCCTCCAGAGATAAAAATGAAAAAATTCCAACAATCTCAGGAAAACAGAAACCATTTATATAGACTGTCCATCACACAGTCTGTGACTTCTCATACAGCTTCAACTTGGGGCTAAAAAGTCAGTAGAGTTAACTCCAGGACATACAAAGAACTTAAAGAACTTAACACCAAAAAGGGAAAAAAAAACAATAACCCAATTAATAAGTGGGCAAAGGACCAGAAAAGACACTTCATGGAAGAAGAAATACAATGGTAAAAAATATATGAAAAAAATATTCAGCATTTTGAGAAATTTAAAATAAAACTTCAATGAGAATCCATCACATTCCATTCAGAATGGCAATTATCAAGAATGCAAGGTACAGTAAATATTCATGAGGATGTGGGGAAAACGTTCACTCCTACATTGCTGGTAGGACTGTGAATTGGTGCAAGCTCTATGGAAGACCATATGGATCTTAGAAATTTGGAATAGAATTACCAATTATGCCAGTTTGCGTACTCCCTGGAATATACCCAAGGGAGTTAAAATCAGCATACTATAGTGACACAGTCACATCAATGTTTAGCCCCTCAATTCACAAACACCAAGCTAAATAATCAAACTAGGTTCCCTTCAACAGATGAATGGGTCAAAAAATGTGACATACATACAACAGATATAATGATGAATAAAACTTTCATATTTTCTACTAAATTTACAGAACTAGAGACCATCAGGATAAACAAAATAAGCCAATAAAAAAAAAAACAATGGTCGAATATTCTCTCTGATATGTGGATGCTAATCCACAACAAAGGAGGGTAGAGAAGAGAAGAATAGAAGATCATTGAATTAGAAAAAAGGAATAAAAATAAGGGAGAGGGAGTTAGTAGAGAAAGTCAATAGAGTTAATTGGACTTAACTTTCCTTTTTTAAACTGAATACATGACCAGTGTAATTCCTCATTATGTACAACCACAAATATTGGATCCTAACAAAATGGGTTACACTCCATGTATGTATAGTATGTCAAAATACACTCTGTTATGTATATCTAAAAACACCAAATAAAAACTTAAAAAATAAAATAAAATGATAAAAAAGAAAAAATCAGTAGAGCTGAGGATAGTTTTGGAATTCCATGTGTGGCCCTGGAGACATGGGGCATTGCAAATTCTATCCTATATATTCTTAGTGGCTGACCAGGGAACAATTTCTTCCAGGGTTCCTTTCTGCAGGCTGACTGTATTGTTGATTCATGCAGTTTTTTATACCCCCACAACCCATCTGCATCATTAATTGACTGGGGCATCAGATTCAACTTGTCCCCCTCCTTGTCTCTCCTTGAAAATCCCTCCATCTCTTTTCAGTCCTGCTCTCCATTAAACCCTGCCTCCCTCCTCCTATCTTCTCCCCCACAAGAACCCATCCACAAATGCCTGGAGGTATTAGAGATGATTTTACCCTGCCCTACCACCATTTCTGAGGGACCCCTGCCCTCATTGGACCTCATCTGATTCTCAGATGGTAGCTCCTTTACACAGAAGGGGTTAAAGTAGCAGGGTATACTATCATTTCCCTCTCATCCATCATATAGCCAAAACTTCTCTCACCCAATATCACCAACCAACAAGCTGAACTCATAGCTGCCACAAGGGCATGAGAGCTAGCAGAGGGAAAAACCCTCTCCCTATATACCGATCTACCATGAAGCCATTTGGAAGAAAGAGGGCCATTGAACACCAGAAGGAAGGCAGTCAGTAATTCCACACTTATTTCTGGCCTACTATGGGCCTCCAGGCTGCCTTCGAAACTGGGAATAATTCACTACAAGGCCTACCAAATTGACTCCTCCATCCAGGGTTCTATCCATCCTTGTCTCTCCTTGAAAATCCCTCCATCTCTTTTCAGCTATGCTGGCTCACATGATCCTGCTTTCCAATGGTGAGCTCTGCTGGTTCATATGATATTGCCTTCCAATGGTGACCTTGCAGACTCACATTATCCTTACCCAACAATCACCTAGCACTATTGGATCAAATGATCCTTACCCACCAATCAGAAAGCACTCCAGGCCAACTGTCAAACCATTCAACCATTAAACTGTCATAACTGTCAAACAGACCCCAGCTCTATAAATATGCAAAGCTGTTTCTCAATAAATGGACATTATCACCGATGGCAAGCCTTGATTGTTCTTTCAATACTGGAAATCAAAACAGACAAACAGTAGGCCATTATACTGAAGGAGTAATGAAAAGCCCAGACCCAGACAGAGTCATGACAGAATTCCACCAGACCACCATAGGAGACTAATACCAGTGTTCCTCAAAAGAATTACAAGGCATACTAAAAGAAGGAACATGGCAAACACATTATAGAAGGGCAATATCACACTTACAGGACAAGTGCATGAGAACAAAACAAGGAATGAAAATTATTTCATAACATTCTTAAGGACCAGAGTTGCAGAAACGCTAATAAAACACGGGAAAACAATTTCATCAGTACATGTAAATGATCATACACCATCATGAATCTGGTTGAATATGAAAAATGCAATGATTTAAAAACAAAAGGCAAATCAATAAATGCAGTATACCACACAAAGCACAAAGGAGACAAATTTAATGATAATTTTAAAAAGATGTTAAAACAGCTTTAGACAGACTTGACCACAAGAAAACACTGAAGCTACAGAAAGCATGAACTTATGACAGGAATACCTAGGCTATGTACGCAGAATAACACAATGGAATAAATAATGGTGAAAACACTAAGGATTCCTCTAAAATAAAAAAAAAAATGAAATGTACAAACTCCCAACTCCTAAACAACACAGCACCTGAACAGTTAGAAAAACAAATGAGACAAAGGAAGAAAACAGAATGTAAAAAGTCAAATGTACAAATTAAAGGTTGGGGTTTTTGGCTGAGAGGTTGAAGGACCCCCAAAAGAAAAACCCCAAAACAACAACAACAACAAAAAAATAAACACAATAATAAAAGTTGGTGAGGATTTCAAAGAAATACTATACACACACATTATTGGTGTGACCACACATTAGAGCAAACACTGTGGGAAGCACTATGGAGATTCCTCCAAAAAAAAAAGAAATGGAACCACATCAGTATCTAAATATCCACGCCTCCTTTGTATTCAGCTGACCAGGAGGAACATGAGTGTATCAATGTCTGCAGTCACATAACTCTTACCAGGAGCGACATATTGAATGAATGATACAATGAGGCGTATACACACGAACAGTTTCAGTATATGTTGAAGAAAGAACTTATACCATTTTCCATGAGTGGAAGGAAGTGGAGAATCCCATGCTCAATTCAATAAGTCATAGGAGAATATGGAGCATTGAAAGGATTCCAATCAAGGCTGAAGGTAAAGCAACCTACTAGGAACAAGGTAGGCATGGATATCCTGAA